TCCTGCACATGATTGATTATTCTTTGCAAAGTGAAATGTCATCACATTCACCAAGCTAAGGGAAACTTCCCCTGCAAAGTGATGAGGGCAGAAGGTAGTTTTCCATTCACAGAACTCTGTGAATGAATGATGTGGCTGTGCATGGCTCTCTAAAGGTGTCTAGGTGTGCTCCCTCTTCTGGTCTTTACAGACATAAACATGTACTCATCTGATCCAAGCGTGCACATTTATGTACCATCCTGTAAATCCACAGAAAACCTTGAGGCCAAGGGTAGGCAACCTCAACACTCCAGCTGTGGTGAAAGTACAATCTCATCATGCATGCCTTGGGGAGTCATACCTGTGGCTTTTAGAATCTTGTATTACTTCATGGGACTTGCAGTTCCACAATAGCTGTAGTGTCAAAGTTGCCTCCCCCTGCTTTAGATCAAAATGTGCCCTTATATCTGACTGCCTCCTCATCTCTATGGCCTGCAATAGCCACCAGCAATTGTACATTTGTATGATCTGCTACAATCACAGTGGATTCTTGTGACCTCGTTCAGTTATAAAGCCTTTACTCATAGGCAGGGCCGGATTTACTCTCCCTGCAGCCCCAAGGCCGTGTTCTGCAATGCGCCCCCCATCAATGGAGAATGGCAACCGGACGGCAGGGGCGGCAGTGTTAGTTTTATTTCTTTTTATTGTTTAATTTTTTTTTAAACTTTAAAAAAAAAACTTTTTTACATTTTTAGCTTATCATTAACTTTTTATCTTATTATTGTTTATTTATTTTTTATAATTATTTTCTTATTTGTAAATTAGTGATCGTGGCGACATCGCCGTGATCACTTGTAAACGAACAAGCGGCTTCCTCACACTACATTTAGTCCTGCCTTCCCAAAGCAGGACTAAATAAAGAACGCAACTTACCACCCGGCACTTTATGTTCCAGGCGTCGGGGGATTCGACACCGCTGCCACCCCTCTGCACCCTGCCGCCCCGAGGCCTGGCCTCGATGAACTTGATCCAGGCCTGCTGATACGATCAGCAAGCCTGGGACACCCAGAAACACTGAGACATCACTATTGCAGTAGAACCACAAATAGGATCCGCTTTACAAACACAACCTGATGTTTTTAAATAATAAAATGTGCATTCCAGTGCTTGTAAATAATGAGATCTGTATTACAATGTTATTAAATAATGAAAGATGATTTCCACTTTGTTTTGTTAAACTTCAAATGGTTGTTATGAATATAATGTAGCAAACCAATGTGTAAGCTCAGCCTGAGAGGGCCCTATTGACCCCTCTGTTCTGATCATACCCACCTGCCAGTTGTGTAGGCAGATCTGATCGGAAGCTCAATGTTAGTCTATGGGCAGCTGGATCTATATACAGTATAAGGACGTGTGTCTAGGTCAGTAAAGCAAAAAGGAGCAGAGCTCTGCTTTGGTGGACCTGATTGTGATGGATCAGAGGATGAAAACTGACACGGCTGTTTACATGCAACTCCCCATAAACTTAACATGGGCCTGTTCAGATACCCTCCATTGCAAGATCAAAAGACGGAGGAAAAAGTGAACAGACCTGGATGTTACAATCGTGACACCCATCCCCGTACTGCTCCGATCAGCAGGAGATCTGTGCACGATCAGAACAGACGCCACCCATGTGAAAGGGGCCTTAGCGTGCCAGTATGAGAGTTCATCCTAACATGTGCAACATTGGAAAGTCAGAACATCAATTCCCAAAGAGCAAATTCTAGGGCTGATCCTCAAATTTTGATCTAGGGCTGATCTGCAAATTGTTCCTTTAAGACTACTTCACACCAGATGCAGTTCGTTTCCGGCCCGATTCTGGCCAGAACGCACTGCATCGCATTGCGGCCGGCTCACTTTTTTTTGCCGGCCGCAATGCAATCGGCTGCACGGGATCGCAAGGCACATTGTGCCTGCGTTCCGGTCCAGTGCGATCAAAATGCTGCAAGCACTATTTTGATCGCACCGGACTGCAGGCACAATATGTCTCCCATCTACACTAAACAGCGTGCATAGAGGAATCCCTACTGCCAGCCGCTGCTGAGAATACCTCATCAGTGCCTGCATTTGATTGGATGCAAGAAATGTCCGGACGATAATTAACTTCCCACCTTTGAAAAATCGACTTTTATCAAACCTGGTGGCCCCATCAGGGCAACCCACCACTCGAATTTCAGCTGATTCAGCGGAAATTGGCTGAGATTCCAGCTATGGGTGACAAAGTTCACTTTGTACTGTATCTATGGAGTAGCAATGTTGTCACCCTAAGCTGCTCTCTCTTGACATGGACTACAAACACCTCCCCCTCTCTTCATCTCCTCCACATACGTGGAGGTGTACTATAATTCACAGATGAAATTGTGAGGGCAGATAACGTGGTTTGAGATTTCAGCTCAATGCAGAGGAAGCTACAAGGACACTGGATTTCTGCATTCACGATATTAATGGTCCATTTACATTTGTGCGGTGCGTTAGTGCACATGCATTAACAAACGTTATGTCACATGTGAAAGTGTGTTGCATTAAGGCAGCCCATTATCATCAATGGGTTTACGATGCCTCCAAAAATTGGACATCACCATCTTTTTACTGCAATGCACTATTATGCGTTGCCATGGATTGCAGCTTTTTGCAATGCATGCACGTCGCCTTAGTGCGTTGGTGTGATATTAAAAATGAATGGCACTGCATTGTAAAGCCTGTTGCTGCAGATCTAAATTTGGCTTTTTGGCAGAATTTCTCCCAGATTTGTTATTCTCTGTGTACGGCGCATATGCTGTACACATTCAGCCGAGTCACTGCATCTCTAAGATGTCATGTATACGCCTGATGGCAGGTAATGTGTGCGCAGGTGTTACATCATCAGTGCCCACCAATGGCATCATCAGTGCCACTCGTTACCCACCAGTTTTATCATTAGTGGCCACCTAGTGACATCATCAGTGCCAGCAGTTACCGACCAGTTACATAATCAGCGGCAACCCAGTGGCATCATCAGTGCCAAAAGTTACCCACCAGTTACATAACAAATGGCTACCCAATGGCATCATTGGTGCCACCAGTTTCATCATCAGTGGCCACCCAGTTTCATCATCAGTGGCCACCCAGTGGCATCATCAGTGCCACCAGTTACTTCACCAGTGGCCACCTAGTGCCATCATCAGCGCCACCAATTACCCAGCAGTTACATCATCAATGGCCACCCAGTGCAATCATCAGTGCCAAAGGTTACCCACCAGTTAAATCATCAATGGCTACCCAATGGCATTATCAGTGCCACCTAATGGCATCATCAGTGCCACCAGTTCCTCACCAGTTACATCATCTGTGGCCTAAAGAGGATGTCTCGGAACTTCAAAGCTGTGGCATTGGCAGGGGCCAGAGCAGATGATTAAAGATGGATCTGCCAGCGCTGGAGGGCACACTGGTCAGGTAAGTGAACCCTCATGGGCAGGGTACACCATGCATACTTGCCTATTAGGGCAAATACTCACCTCACAGCGGGTTACTACCACTTTAAGGACTAGTAAGCCGCAGTATCTTCCAATTTGTACCCTTGAATATTCACAGAATGACATAAATACCCCTCAATACTCATACACTGATATAGATACCTCTCAATACTCATGCAATGATATAGATACCCCTCAATACTCATGCAATGATATAGCTAACCCTCAATACTCATGCAATGATATAGATACCCCTTAATACTCACAGAATGATATAAATACCCTTCAATACTCATACACTGATATAGATACCCCTCAATACTCATACAATGATATATGTACCCCCTCAATACTCACAGAATGATATAGATACCCCTCAATACTCAGAATTATATAGATACCCCTCAATATTCACAGAATGATATAGATATCCCTCAATACTCATACAATGATATAGCTACCCCTCAATACACATAGAATGATATAGCTACCGCTCAACACATAGAATGATATAGCTACCCCTCAATACTCACAGAATGATATAGATACCCCTCAATACTCACCGAATGATATAGATACCCCTCAATACTCATACAATGATATAGCTACCCCTCAATACACATAGAATGATATAGCTACCCCTCAACACTTACAGAATGATATAGATACCCCTCAACACTTACAGAATGATATAGATACCCCTCAATACTCACACACTGATATAGATATCCCTCAATACTCATAGAATGATATAGATACCCCTCAATACTCATACACTGATATAGATACCCCTCAATACTCATACACTGATATAGACACCCCTCAAAACTCATACACTCATATAGCTATCCCCTCAATACTCATACAATGATATAGATACCCCTCAATACTCATACACTTATATAGATACCCCTCACTACTCATACACTGATATAGATGTCCCTCAATTTCTTACAGAAGTATATAGATACCCCTCAATACTCATACAATGATATAGCTACCCCTCAATACTCATACAATGATATAGATACCCCTCAATACTCATACAATGATAGAGCTACCCCTCAATACTCATGCAATTATATAGCTACCCCTTGGTACTCATAGAAAGCTCCTTGGTCATACATGGGTCCACTTTTGTCCCGGATCCCCATAGAAAAGTAAATAGCCCCCACCCTTGTGGTAAATGGCCCATTGACTTGCAGAGCTCAGGGCTGGGCTCTTACAAAGCGCCTGGAATGAACACCTATTGAAAGGCAGAGACAGCCGATTGTGTGCAGCTCGCTGGAGGTGGTAAAAAGGATCCAAATGGTTAAAGATGGTCCCGGGGGGAGGAGCCTGCACTGATGCCACAATTAAAGATGAACTTTCGGTGAACTAATTTATCTGACCAAGGTAAGAGGAAGAAAAAAAAAAGGGGGCCGACCTGGAGGGTGTATATAAAGGGAGAGACATGGGGGCGATGAGATGATATAGACTTAGCGCTGAATGTGTGTGTACTAGGGGGATAGACTTAGCGCTGACACCATGGATCTGTACACGATGGTCATTAGCGCTCTCTGCACGCTGGTGCTGCCGCTTCTGCTCCTGCTCACCGCAGTTAAGCTGTGGGAACTGTACTGCTTCAGTCGCAGGGACAAGCGCTGTAATTGGCCCCTGCCACCCGGCACTATGGGGTTACCCTTTTTTGGTGAGACTTTGCAAATGGTCCTGCAGGTATGTACCATGCGATCTCTAAATAGTCACATTTTAATGCTTTTTAACGCAATTCCTGTAGGAGCTTGCTAGGTGCTGTGCTATATAAACTGTTGCCTATAGAGATCTATTTTGCAGGCTAAGTGTATTTTTCTTGTCCATTGCAGAGACGCAAATTCTTGCAGCTGAAGCGCAGAAAGTACGGGCACATCTACAAGACGCATCTGTTCGGCGCCCCCACCGTGCGCGTCCTGGGCGCTGACAATGTGCGCCAGATCCTGCTCGGGGAGCACAAGCTGGTGTCTGTACAGTGGCCGGCGTCTGTCCGCACCATCCTGGGCTCTGGCTGTCTGTCCAACCTGCACGACAGCCAGCACAAGGACACCAAGAAGGTGAGCGAGCCATGTATGCCTGTCCCTAAATTCACATCGATCTGATCAATATCCTAAATCACTGCTTTCCTTCAAAGCTTCTCCTTGGGTGACGCCGCGTTCGTGTATTTTTCTAGTTATTCTATCGTAGGGGCTTTTTTTGTATTTGTCCATTTGCAGTACTTTTTAACCTGTTGCTGTGTTCATGTGTTTTTTTTTTTTTTTTTTTTTTTTTTTTTTTTCCCATTTTTTTTTTTAATACTCCGATCTGATTTCTGGGGATGCGTTTTTTATCATCCATTTGCAGTGCAAAGTTGGACCCTGTTGCACATCACTCTGTGTAAGATGCCGCGTCCATATGTATTTTGTATGGCGCATTTGCAGCCAGTTCAAAGCTGAACCTGTTGCACAGTACTTGATGCGTTTTACTGCGTTCATGTGTATTTTTGATTAGGATCGGGTCTTATTTCAGGGATGCGTTTGGCTGTATTTTCCATTTGCAGTATAGAGTGTAATCCGAGTTGGGTTTCTCAGGTCGGACCAACCTGTTGCACATCTGATGAGATTAAAGTGCTGTGCACTGCAAGCTCATCACCCCCATCATCCTAATCACCCCCATTGGTGCTCTCTGTGTGGCATTAGATTTGTTTGATGGAAGGGCAGGGGGTTTAATCCCTTCCCCGCTGAGCGTCTTCCAGGGAGGGGGGCTGCCCTGTGCGGGTCACCTTTTCACCTCTTTATTAATGCGATCCTATTACCGTGCGCGGCTGCCTTAACCCTTTGCAGGCTGAGCTAACGTTTCCCCCTCTACCCTCTTCAGGTGATCATGCAAGCCTTCTCCCGAGAGGCTCTGGACAACTACGTGCCGGTCATGGAGGAGGAGATGAGGAGCGCCATCGACCAGTGGCTGCAGAGCGGCCCCTGTGTGCTGGTCTACCCGGCCGTCAAGCGGCTGATGTTCCGCATCGCTATGAGGCTGCTGCTGGGATTCGAACCCGCGAACATGGACCCCGCGCAGGAACAGCCACTGGTGGAAGCCTTCGAGGAAATGATCCGCAACCTCTTCTCGCTGCCGATCGACGTGCCCTTCAGCGGCCTCTACAGGGTGAGTGAGGGAACTGCAGCGCTCTTCTGTACTAAAGTCTTCAATTGTCGGCAACATCAAAAATAACATTTGTATAATTGGAAGTTTATTAACCCCCCAATATATTTGTAGATTTATAATTTTTCCTCTGCCTGCAGAAGGGTGACTTTGATGGTTCTGCAGTAAAATTGCACAGCAGCATTGGCACCCTGTGTCAGCTAGTCCTTTTTTTTTTTTTTGTTCAATAGACTTTAGATCAGTGACAAAAATTAAAACTGAATCCCAGTTACAGCAGCAGTTGTCTTTCTGAATTAAAATGGAAGCCGCAGTAGCGTTGTATGGTTTGTCCAAGCCCCTATAACAGCCACTTTTGCTGGACAAGCTCATTTGTGTGTGTAATGTAAAAATATAAAGGCACATGAAAGTAAAACCATAACTAGTTGTTAACAACATTATACAGTTACTAGATCAATATGGTCAGTGTTGGGGTGTATGCCTATATTACATACATACATGCATGCATACATACATAGAGCACTCCATCAGGACTTCCACTGTATGTGAAATGAACATTCAAGGAATATATTGGTCTTTTTGGTGGGGGACATTCCTTGAGTATTCTTTTTGCATATTGTGGAAGTTCTGATGGAGTGTACTCGCTGTCTGATGTATTGGATGTAACTACTGTGTTGTGATGCACTCAGGAAGTGCTTCACAAAGAACACAGGTACCTACCCTCTGTTGCCCACTCTTTCTATACGTATATATCTATATTGTATTTTTTTTTCTAAACATACTTTGTAAAAACCTAAAAAGATGAATGCACAAACATATGTACTTGGGCTCTACAGTATCTGAAAGCATACTTTAGATACATAGTTTACTTCTGCTTTTGTACAACTAGAGCCAACACATCTTGTCCACATCTTGCGTTTAAGGTTCCCCCTGGTAACCAGCCTGTGCTTATTCTATGCTTTCTTTCTTGTAGGGTCTGCGGGCTCGAGATATCATCCATGCCAAGATAGAGGAGAACATAAAGGAAAAGCTGAGGAGGGATCCGGAGAGCACATGCAAAGATGCACTGCAGCTACTCATAGATCATAGCCGCAAGAACGGAGAGCCGGTGGACCTGCAGGTACTTGATAAACATTTGACTGTCCATAGAACACGTCTTGGAACACGTCTTAATGAGACTTCTGCTCAATGCAGCTTTTGTCAGAGGACTGTTATTCACTTCTAGTTTTTATAAAATGAACATGCTAATGTTAGTTTTCTACTCTACCTAGGCATTGAAAGAATCTGCCACAGAACTCTTATTTGGCGGGCACGGGACCACTGCCAGTGCGGCTACATCCCTGATCACGTTCCTTGGCCTTCATAAGGGGGTTGTACAGAAAGTCAGACAAGAACTTGAATCCAAGGTAAGATGTCTTTTTCAGGAATTTGGGTCTGGTAGTAAACAGTGCTGATTGTGCTGAATTTATAGTATAGTTTCAGAGTAGGGGTAGTAAACCTCGGCGCTCGTCTCAAGTCCCATGAGGCATTGCAAGATATGACAGCCACATTCACGACTCCCAAAGGCATGCTGTAGTTACACCACAGTTGGGGTGCTGTTGCCCACCCCTGGGGTAGAGCTTTAAATACATTTTTAGGCTTTAAAGTCCACATAGGTGTTTAGTAACATGCCTTCATGTACAGTTGCATGACATGAGCGGTTTTAGGTTTACATTGAACATCCATTGAATATGTAACAAAGTCAAAATGACTTAGGTGCCTTAATGGGACCATTATGTAGTGTGGTGCTTTGACCTATTTCTTTTTTAGATGATTGTGTTTGACTTTACCATCGCACTACTAGTCATATTTGTTAGGAACTTTGCTATGGGTCAAATCTCTTACTGACTTGTTGCACTTGTTAGTCTAAACATTGAGATCTGTAATAAGCAAAGTATTACAACCTATCAACCTATAGAAATGCTTATTTTAAGAGTACTGTATTAAGATTTGCTGTGGTTGGCTGGTACAGGTTACTGCACTTCACTATTGCTTTGTGCCTTGCCTTATTTAAAAAGCTTGCTTGACTTGATACAATGCCATGGTTCCTAAGCTGTAAATTCCATTTTAGGGTCTCCTATCCAATAAACCTGGAGAAAAGAAAGACCTAAGCATAGACCTTCTCCAACAGCTTAAATACACTGGGTGTGTCTTAAAGGAAACCCTCCGACTCAGCCCACCGGTTCCTGGTGGATTTCGGGTTGCTCGAAAGACGTTTGTCCTAAATGTAAGTATGCAAGTAGCGCTGTTGTAAAAAAAAAGTTTGAAGTTGAGAAAATACATAAAATATTGAGGTGACTTCTAAGACAATATCTTCAAATCTTCCCTCTTTCCTATCTTGAGGGACAGCGCTGCCCTAGGCTAAGAGCCCAGCTCTTGATTTTCTCCAAATGACCTGCTGAAAGGGCAAATTGCTCAAGCATTTACTGCTGCTATTGTAGGAGGTTGTTAGTTTCGTGTTTTATTGTATGCTCTACCTAATTTAGAGGGTGCAGGACACTTTGATCTAATAGTCGTGAGTTCACAAGCAGTGCACAGAACTTCTGAAAACTTGCAGGCAATTTCATGCTTGTCAACCGCCTCCTGGTGACCCTAATTGGAGACCTTTTTTTTACGGTTTGATAGCATCCTGTTGGACAGGCCAGTGCTGCATGTCACACCTATGTAGTGCCATTTACCTGCAATGACTCGGCTTTATACTCAAGCACTGTTTTTCCTCTTCCAGGGCTATCAAATTCCAAAGGGCTGGAACGTCATCTACAGCATTGCTGACACTCATGATGTCGCAGAGATCTTCCCCAATAAAGACGAATTTAATCCAGACCGATTTCTAACTCCCTTTCCTGAAGACTCATCCAGATTCAACTTCATTCCTTTTGGAGGAGGCGTACGAAGTTGTGTGGGCAAAGAATTTGCCAAAATTCTACTGAAGATCTTTATAGTCGAACTGTGTCGAAATTGTGACTGGGAGCTCTTAAATGGGGCACCGACTATGAAGACTGGCCCAATTGTTTATCCCGTGGACAATCTCCCCACTAAATTCAAACCTTTCAACAGCACATTTTAATCACCAACCTGTTGAATATGTACAAAAATCCATTATATAGCATCTTATGTGTATATAAAGCTTTTATAACTTGCTTATTTTATATTTAATTTGTACAGTAACCTAGTTTATTTATACATTTCCCCAGACTTAAAAGACTTATGAACTCCTAAGCACTCATTGTGGATGAAGATCCACAATTTTCTGTAGATATGTTAAAAGGTATACATTGCCCTAATGAATGTACTAGTGGGCAGGCTTGTAACAATGTACATGTGTTTGTAGAAATACATTCAGGTGTTGAAATAAAGAATTACAGGTTCTCCATGAAGTTATTGATGTATGCAATGATTCTCTTGAATTGGGGTTTTACAAATGGATCCTTTTTATGCACATTTAGGCGGTGTCCTTTAAATAATCCCATATTGAAATCTTTGACTGTTTTCCCGAAAATCAGCTTCCAGCCACATACGGGACAAAATACTTGATGTAAAAAACATACCGTATAAGACACTAATCATTGATCATGAAGGTTCACTACGAATATAAATTCCTAAAGTTTCCCCGGGTAATTATTTATTACAGGTATTTTAGCGACGACAATTTACTCAGCGCTTTTACATCAGTACATTCACATCAGTCCCTGCCCTCAAGAAGCTTACAATCTAAGGTCTCTATATCCCATGCATACATACAGGGCCGCTTTAGACAGGAACCAATTTACCTTTCAGCATGTCTTTGGAATGTGGGAGGAAACCAGAGTACCCAGAGGAAACCTACGCAAGCACAGGGAGAACATGCAAACTCCCTGCAGATTGTGACCACTGACCTGGCTGGGATTCGAACCAGGGACCTCCAGTGCTGCAAGGCAGAAGTGCTAACCACTGCGACACTGTGGGTAAAATACATTAAAGTGTATGAACATGATAGACAAAGTTGTATAGCCACATTAAGTCTCCTTAGATTTCCTAAGAGCTATGTAGTAAGAGGGCCTACCAGACTGGATCTGAAATAAAAGGATTCCTGACTGGATATATAAGGATTATCAACTACACAATGGCGGAGGAATCTAAAGCTGACCATACAATACCCTTTTTTAGATTTACAAACCGTTCTATTACTACCTACACGCAAAGGTTACTTATCTTCATACGCAGTAGCCTACTGACATTCTATTATATATATATATATCCAAACTTTGGTTACATTACCAGATATACCATATCAAACAGCTACATTCGTCTTGCTACTTCATTGACCCATACTTCAACCCTGATTGACACAAGATCAACCTGTTTAAAGATCCTAATTGGGAATGCCAATGCCTCCAAAGCTATGCATTGTTTTCCAGTCTATTAAACCACTGATTTATCAAATGGTTCTGGAAAACATGGTATTTATGCATGTCAATATAAATTTCAGAAAAGATTTATGAAGTTGTGTAGTATAAGGGTCTATGATTGGATGTATGGCTTGTCTAGATAGACCCCTCACACTACTTAGTTGGTGGATGTATGGCTTGTCTAAGTAGACCTATCACAGTACATCGTTGTGGATGTATCGTTTGTTTAGGTAGACCCCTTACATTACATAGTTGGTGGATGGATGGCTTGTCTAAGGTGACCCCTTACACTACATAGTTGGTGGATGCATAGTTTATCTAGGTAGACCCCTCACACTACATAGTTGGTGGCTGTATGGCTTGTCTAAGGTGACCCCTTACACTACATAGTTGGTGGATGTATAGTTTGTCTACGTAGACCCCTCACACTACATAGTTGGTGGATGCATTACTTGTCTAGATGGACCCCTTACACTACATAGTTGGTGGATGTATGGCTTGTCCAGGAAATTGCTCACACTACACAGTTGGTGGATGTATGGCTTGTCTAGGAAATGGCTCACACTACATAGTTGGTGGATGTATTACTTGTCTAGATGGACCTCTTACACTACATAGTTGGTGGATGTATGGCTTGTCTAGGAAATGGCTCACACTACATAGTTGGTGGATATATGGCTTGTCTAGGAGATGGCTCACACTACATAGTTAGTGGATGTATGGCTTGTCTAGGAGATCGCTCACACTACATAGCTGTTATATCTGGAGGAATGCATATATAGACTGTGATCAATCAAAAGACTTTAATAGTCCAATAAAATAAGTGTGGCTAGTGTTAAAAGGCAGGAATTGGCTACGCAAGATATTTCCTGCTGCAGAGTTTGTATGGAAGGCCATTCCAATAATTTTTTAGTTCAGTGTAGTAGCTTGGTATACCAACTTTGTCTACTGAGACCCTTAAGACTGATTGATTGCCAGACAAGCTGCTAAATAGGCAATTGAAAAACCTATGTGAAAACTTTTACCTGCAAGAAATATTTGGAATCCTGCTGCTCCAGGCAGCATATTGGGTTGGTGACCTTTACATGTGCAGTTAAAGTGGAGAGTCAGTCGAGCTGGTTTTCTCCAATTTGGGGATGTGTTGGGAAGGGTTAGCGCCTATGTTTTTACTCTTTACTGTTGACAAGTGATTTTATTGTCTGCCTTGGAGAGGTTTTCCATCACTTCCTGTTCTGTCGACTTCTGCCTGCAGCTGCCCAATGCTAGCAGTATGTGAAGAAGCCTACAATTGCTTGGAATGCTAATCCTATTACCTACCTGGAGTTCAGATATAATGATACGTGGACTGCCATAAGGTGGCAAGGTTTTATAGAACAGCAGGGGTGTCTGTGGAGTAGCCACTTTCTTCCCGAGGACTATTGACACTATAGGGGGCTGTATTGAAGGGTTTGGGGCTTCTGTTAATGGCATCAGTTTAAGATGCTTCTGATATCATTCATAGTTTAACAAAAGTTCATCTTATCTCCAACTGTCCTGCTTCAAAATCTAGTTCTCCAAACTCATGTTCAATACACATACAGTATTAGACATTTAGGATGTATAGTGGGATGGATGGAGAATCTCCATATCACTTATACTAAACTAGTATTGAAGAAGGCCTTTACAAAAGAACAAAAGCCCTAACATTTGTTCTCCATACTATCCAAACTTAGAGGAAACCTTGCCTGATAAAAAATAAACTTGAAGACTTGAATTGCTGATTTATCATTCTGCAAAGGCTAGTTGTCTGGGTGTCATCCTTGCTCATCATTGTGGGTCACTAGCCAAGCACAAATGTGTAAACATCCTGACTTTCCTGGAATACATACTTGTTCTGGGTCAATGATTAAAGAAAAACTTTTTCTTATCCCTTGCAGTCGGGCTACCCCCACACTGCAAGGGTTAAGTGCTCACTTTTGTCTATTTTCAAAAATAAAAAAGTTATATTCACTCGAAGCTCCGAGCAGGCCAGCTCTCACAGCGTTCCCTCCAGCCTGTCTACTCCTCCACTGCAGCATTGGAATCTTTCTCAGCTTCCTTATGTCTATACACAGTGTGTAGATGTGAGGATTTACGAAACCTTAGACCAATGCAGAGGAGGTGAAGAGAAGCTGCAGGGTGCGTTTTAAGAACAAGCTGGCTCAGAGCATCAGGTGAGTGTAACTTTTTTTTTTTATCCTAGAAACAAACAAGCACTTAAAGGAGAACTATGAGGTCAGTGCTTTTCCCCATAGTTCTCCTAAGGGTAACGGGAGGACACAAACTAGCGTCCTCCCGTCACCCAAAGCTCAGCATACTGCGAGCCACAGCTCGCAGTATACTGAGACGCCGCAGCCGGAACGGATCCCTACAATTCTGTCTGGATCCACCCAGCTGCGTGAGTGACAGCTGGCTCTGCCCATATAGAGGCAGAGCCAGCTGTACCCGATCCCTCCCCCGTCCGTTCCGCCAGTCAGCGCTGGAGGATCGGACAGGGGAGGGGGGGAATGCCTGCAGGGAGCCGTGAGTGACAGTCAATGCTCTCTGCTTGGATAGATCGAGAAGTGAGCGAGAGCCAGTATGTGTTTGCTCACTTCCCGATCTACTGAGCAGACCTGTGACAGTTTCATTGTCACAGATCGGCTCAGATTATGAGGCTGAGTGAAAATCACTCGCCTCAAAATTTTCTCCTTTAACCCTTGCAATGCGGGGGTAGCCCCACTGCAAGGGTTAATAAAAAAAATTCCTGGAGTTCTTTAAAAACTATTCAAGCCAGATGGTCAACCAGAAAACGAGCATTTTAGGAAGTAGATCAATAAGCAGCCCTCTCATTTCTCTTTGGAAAGTTTTGCTTTAACGTCGATCTGAAGACAAAGTAGTTTGCTAAAGCATACATAATGCATTATACATAAATGCATAAACAAAAGCCATATTTTTTTCTCTAGAAAATACCCTTTTTACCTTTTTTTCATCCTTTGTTGCACCTCAGCTTTGTTGATATCCTCCTGCCTCTTCCTGTCTACATGCATGCCCTCTAGAGGCAACTGCACATCATCAATGCTCAGGGTAGGCTTTCTGATGGTGACTATGGCAGATTATACATGAGAATGAGCATCAGCACAGCGGCATATAGTTATGACTAGAACTGCATGTGACAGCCTGGCAACACAGAAAAACAACTGAGAGACAGGCACATAGAGCTGTCATCCATAGCAGAAAGTGCCTGAACAAGGACCTTCATGGGAGCATTACCATATAATATTTTATTGAAAGCTGAAGATTTTAAAATATTACATGAGATGAGATTTTGTTACTTGGGTATACATTTTTGCTTATGATCTGGGAATCATCAAAGTTTTCATGGTAACCCAACTCCAAGGTGTTCCTGTGGGTCTGGACCTAGATGCAGTTTCTTTGTTACCTTTTGGGGTTCCCCATATATGATGTCGATATGATTTATTCTTCCAGTTAACTGTTCCTTCCAGAACATATATTTGAAAAGGAATATTGTCAATTGCAGGATATAAAAAAAAAGTATAAAGCAACACAAGCTGGCTACAATGCACATATCTGGGGGTGAGCTCAACAATGTTTAATAAGGGTTGGAGTTCAAATATCAGTGATGCAATATCAATAAGTGGAACTATTGCTCAAAACTGTTTATATCCTTTATTGAAGCAGTAGAGTATTGTACCATGTTAGCTATCAATCAGTGCAGAAGATTTGGAGTTTAAGTGATACCTTTTATTGGCTTATTATTATTATACAGGATTTATATAGCGCCAACAGTTTGCGCAGCGCTTTACA